ACACACACACACACACACACACACACACACATACACACACACACACACACACAGACACACACACACACACACACACACACACACACACACACACACACAGACACACACACACACACACACACACACACACACACACACACACACACATACACACACACACACACACACACAGACACACACACACACAGACACACACACAGACACAACACAACACACACACACACACATACACACACACACACACAGACACACACACACACACACACACACACAGACACACACACACACACACACACAGACACACACACACACACACTCATCTGTGTAAAGACGTTTCGCAAATATTTATGGAAAAAACTCAATATAAACATTTGGAAAAACTGGAAAAATCTAATCTAATCGTCCTAATTATTTTGGGAACTGAAATCTAATTTTTGGCACATAAAGGCCTCAAGATTTGGGTGACCAGATTTTCACAATTCTAAACTGAGACACACACGACTTGGGATGTTTGGTATAAATAAAATTGTGAAAATAGTGTGTAACTTTGTATTCTTATGTCAGTCATGATCTGAGGAACTTCTGTTGTTGTATTTTTTTGTTTTATGATCATTGATTTTCTGTATTTTGGCAAAACAAATGACAATTTCTTCTCCTCTTTACTGTTATTGAGGATCAGATTTGTCAAAAACTGTGATGGTCCCGATTTAGACCTGATGTAGTCCTGGTTTAATCCTAGTTTAGACCTGGTTTAGATCAAATTGGTGAAAAACGGATATTTCTTGTATAAAACTGGCAGGTTAGTGAGTTGGCTTTGGTCTAATGTGGTTGGATCTTTAGTAACGTGACCAGAATTCCAAAGTAACAGGGAAATCCCTGTTTTTTTTGGTTTTGTAGTTGGTAATAATTAAATTGTGAAATGAGTGAGTAATTAAGGAAAACTGTTCTGCAATCGGCCCATTCACGACAAACATGAGTCAGTATAATTCCATTTTCTTTGTGTTTTGGTCGTTTTTAAGCAGATTTTCTGTATTTTACCAAAATAAATGACAGTTTATGTTTCTCTTTACTGTTGGCAGGGATCAAATTGGTCAAAAATGGGGACATTTCTTGTATAAAACTGGGACAAATCACTGGTTTTGTATAAATCTGCTGGGACAGGGGAAGCAAGGCTCAAAAGTGGGACTGTTCCGGGTAAAAAGGGACGTCTACACACCCTTTACCAGAATTTCAAAGTAAAAAACTAGGATATCCTGGGATATTTTTGTAGTCGGTAATAATAAAATTGTGAAACGAGTGAGTAATAAATGAAAACTGTTCTGCACTCGGCTCATTCATGATGAACATGAGTCAGTTTAGTCACATTTTCTTTGTGTTTTGGTCGTTTTTAAGAAGCTTTTCTGGATTTTACCAAAACAAATCATGGTTCCATATTTGGGAATTTACCTTTCCAATATTTCATGGTAAAGTAGTCCTGGTTTAATCTTAGTTTAGACCTGGTTTAGATTAGATTGGTCAAAAACAGGGACATTTCTTGTATAAAACTGGCAGATTAGTGAGTTGGGTAAAAGATCTAGTGTGGTTGGATCTTTAGTATCGTGACCAGAATTTCAAAGTAAAAAACTGGGATATCCTGGGATATTTTTGTATTTGGTAATAATAAAATTGTGAAACGAGTGAGTAATTAAGGAAAACTGTTCTGCAATCGGCCCATTCACGACAAACATGAGTCTGTAGAGTCACATTTTCTTTGTGCTTTGGTCGTTTTAAAGCAGATTTTCTGTATTTTCACTGAAACAAATGACAGTTTATGTTTGTCTTTACTGTTGGCAGGGTCAAATTGGTCAAAAATAGAGACAGTTCTTGTATAAAATTGGGACAAACCAGTGGTTTTGTATAAATCTGCTGGGACAGGGGACGCAGGCTCAAAACTGGGACTGTCCCGGGTAAAAAAGCACGTCCGGTCACCCTAAACTTTAGGCCTTTATGTGTCAAAAGTTTAATTTCTTTCCCCATAGTAATGTCAATTGGAGGTTTTCAGGTTCTAGAATGTGTTGGTCGTGTTTTGGTCATTTCAAGCGGATTTTCTGGATTTTACCGAAACAAATCATGGTTCCATATTTGGGAATTTGTCTTTCCTGTATTTCATGGTGAAGTAATCCTGAGTTAATCTTAGATTAGTCCTGGTTTAGATCAAATTGGTCAGAAATAGGGGCATTTCTTGTATAAAACTGGCAGATTAAAGTAAATAACTGGGATATCCTCGGATATTTTTGTGGTTGGTAATAATTCAGTTGTGAAACAAGTGTGTAATTACAGAAAATTGTTCTGCACTTGACCCATTTATGACGAACATGAGTCAGCACAGTCACATTTTCTTTGTGTTTTGGTCGTTTATAAGCAGATTTTCTGTCTCTCTTTACTGTTGGCAGGATCAAATTGGTCAAAAATAGAGACACCTGGGACATTTCTTGTATAAAACTTCGACAAATCAGTGGTTTTGGATAAATCTGGTGGGACAGATGACTCAGGACTCAAAGCCGGGACTGTCCCAGGTAAAAAGGAAGGTGTCAAAAATTACATTTCTTTCCCCATAACATTCCTCAGCGTCAAACTCACACTAACTTGAGTCAGTACAGTCACATTTTCTTTGTGTTTTGGTCATTTTCATGTAGATTTTCTGTATTTTACCTAAACAAATGACAGTTTATGTTTCTCTTTACTGTTGGCAGGGATCAAATTGGTGAAAAATAGAGACACCTGAAAGATTTCTTGTATAAAACTTCGACAAATCATTGTTTTTTGTGTAAATCTGGTGGGGACAGGTGACTCTGGACTCAAAATTGGGAACGTCTGATCACCCTGCACATAGAGCCTGAAGATCCAACCACACCGGGCCTTTTCCCTCTGCAGCCCCGTCACTTCTCCTGCCTCTAACTTCGACTTCACATCGCTCACTTTTTGTCTCCCAAAGTCACGTTACCTGCGCCGTGAGTGGCTTTTCCACGCCTCGCAGCGGAATGGAGCCCGGAATGGAGAGGAGGACGGACCGACACCGGGAGAGGGGTTAGACCGGTCGGACAGGTCCCGCGCTCAGCCTCGCCTCCTCCTCCTCCTCCTCCTCCTCGCTCCGGGCTCCTGCTGCAGCCCTTCAGCCACCGTTGTCACCGTTATTTCTGGGACGCATGCGCACTCCCGAGCCAGCTTCCTGCTTCAGCCTTCTTTTTTTTTTTTTTTTTTTTACCTGTGCTGCTGCTGCTCCTGCCGCGGCTGCCTCTGCGTACGCCTCGACCCACCTACCGACCGACCTGCCTCTCGTCCGAGACCGAAACACGACTCCTCATTAAAAGACGGACTCCGCGGACGCTTTCCACGCATTCCCCCCGTTATTCGGCGTCGCGCACGGGCTTACCTGTGCTCACCTGGACTCACCTGAGCACGGAGCTTTTGTAGCGGATAAGGAAAGAAAGAAAAGCAGGACTCAGAAAACGGCGCATCGGATCGCGTATTCGCTCGAAAGTCCGGATCGTGGTTCGGTTCAACGATGCCGAGGGCGTTTTTGGTGAAAAAGAACAACGTTTCGCCGGGAAAGCGGAACTGGAGCGAAGTGGCGGATCATGAAAGAGGCGACGTTTACATCCCAGGTGAGTGCATGCAGTCTTACTTTTAACAATACCGCTCTTAAGACGACTTCTAGCCATTTTGCGCACATTCACGTCGTCTTGCGTGTGGAAAACGTGCTCAGGGACGATCGCGCCGGAGTTATTTCGCGAAAAAGTCGCGATCCATGCGTGATTAGCGGGGCATATCATGGGAATAACGGGAATCAAGGTGTTGCATTCGCTGCTTCCCCATACTTTGCAATGGGTGCGCCGCAGGTTAAACCAACTCAACCCATTTTCAGTCTTTGCATAGGCCCGTATTGACAAACTTTCTTATTTAATCTGCTTAAGAAACATTTGAGTTTATGCACGTTTAAAGGCTTTTGCAAACTTTTACGGCCTACCTATCGCACAGACATAGCGACCTTCAACCCCTAGCTTCCTTCCTAGTTGAGGTAATTCAAATATTAGCCTTTCCAAGTTTAATTAAAAGTCAATAAAAGATGATTATATATACAGCTGTATATTTTTATTGCTCTGTTGGCAACTTAACTGTCTTACACATAGGCCCAAAAACATCATTTTGATTTAGTATAACTGCGTTTTTGAAATTTTATCTTTAGAAATTGGTCAAAATATAAAACTACCATTTGTAAAGGGCCTATGCTTTGTAAAATATGTGAGCTATAACCTAAAATGTGTTGACATGACAGGAATGCAGTCACCACCTGTTGTCTTCGAAGGACAAAAATAATTTTAAAAAAGCATAATCTAGTTTAGAATTGAACTAATCTATCAAGAATTAAAAATTGGTTTAAGAATGTAAATTAAAAACAGTAAAGTTTGGCCAAAATTGTGGTAAACGCAGATGTTTTCAAATAGTCAGGGTGACAGATTCCGTTAGAACAGTGTCACGTTACAACAGGCCTATACAAGTGGAGTCAAAATGGATATTGTCGAACAATTAACTCAAAATGACACTAATATATCACGTATAATTAAGAATAAAAGTGTTTTCGCGAAGTTTTGTGGCGTATTCGTGTTTAAACCGTTGATTTTGTCGTCTGTTTTCGGGCTACGCGGGTGCAACGTCGAAAACTGCACCCCTTTACGAAACGAGCCGTCAGGTACGTTTCGAGACGGTTATCTTAAAAAAAAAAAAAAAGTGTTTACCCAAAGTTTTACATGTGAATAGACTAAAGTTTGGGCTGACTACACCTTCCACAAACATTCCCTCATCTCTCTCGTTTTCTCTTTCACCTCGAAAACAATCGCCATTGTTGCCGGCGGCGCGGGTTTTATTGTAGTAGCCGGGCCGGTATCAGGTAACAAACTAACGGACTACACCCAGAGCAGGTAGCGCCTCTCCCCGGGTCCGCGCTGCCCCTCCCCCGGCCTCTGGAGCTCCGGCTGCGGCCCGGGGACCAATCACTGCACCGTTACACGCCTCGGAGCACCGCGGGCACGACGAGCACCGCAAATTAGAAACACAACGAGGCTCTAATGTGTTTTAATGAAGCAAACAGAGAGGCTCGTCCGTTAGATTAGAGTGTTCGGACCGGCGGATTGATACAAAAACTGTGATTTGGTTCAGTTTTAGACAAGAAATGTCTCAGGTGTCACTGTTTTTTATCAATTTGAGGTAAACCAGGACTAAACTAGGGCAAAACCAGGACTATATCAAGACTATTTCAGGTTTATTTCAGGTCTAAACTAGGACAAAACCAGGTATAAACCAGGACAATATCAGGTTCATATCAGGTCTAAACCAGAGCTAAGCCAGGACTAAAGTAGGGCTAAACCAGGACTATATCTGGTTTATATTAGGTCTATCTCAGGTCTAAACCAGGACTAAACTAGGACTATTTCAGGACTATATTAAGACTATATCAGGTCTAAACCAGGTCTAATCTAGGACTATATCAGGTCTATTTCAGGTCTAAACTAGGACAAAACCAGGTATAAACCAGGACTAGTCTAGGGCTAAACCAGGACGATATCAGGACAATTTCAGGTCTATATCAGGTCTAAATCAGGTCTAAACTAGGGCAAAACCTGGACTAAAGTAAGGCTAAAATAAAACTACATCAGGTCTAAACCAGATCTAAACCAGGTCTAAAGTAGGACTAAATCAGGTCTAAACTAGGGCTAAACCTGGACTAAACTAAGTCTAAAATAGAACTGTATCAGGTATAAACCATGACTAAACTAGGACTAAAATAGACCTATGTCAAGTCTAAACTAGGACTAAACCAGGACTATATCAGGTCTAAACCAGGTCTAAACTAGGGCAAAACCTGGACAAAACTAAATCTAAAATAGAATTATATCAGGTCGAAACCAGGACTAAACTAGGACTAAACAAGGACTATTTCAGGTCTAAACCAGGACTAAGCTAGGACTAAACCAGGACTATACCAGGTCTAAACCAAGATTAAAGTATGATTATATTAGGTCCAAACCAGGTCCAAACCAGGTCCAAACCAGGTCCACACCAGGTCCAAACCAGGACTAAACTAGGGCTAAAATAGAACTATATTAGGTCTAAACCAGGACATTTGTCATTTGTTTGTGCAAAATACAGAAAAGCTGCTATAAAACGACCAGAACACAAAGAAACGTGATTGTACTGAGTCACGTTAGGGCCGAGTGTGTAACAGTTTAACTTAATCACTCGTTTCACAATTTTATTTTTATTACCAACACAAACCAGGATGTCCCAGTTTTATTTTGAAAATCTGGTCACTCTAGTTTTGTTTCATTTATACATGTTTGAGTAACTCTTTAATATGAGCCTGCAAAACTCAAAATGTTCACAGGTACATTTGATCTTTTACCTTTTACATTTAGAGAAGCATTTTTGATCTAATGTTGTTTCTTCTGAGGCTTAAACTCAAAGTTACAGATTTGCTAAATTGCTTTAATGGGAACACACAGAACAGGTTAGACTCACAAAACCAGATCGACCTTTTTAAACTTTAACCAACCTATAATTATGATCATTAGCAACAGAGTCTCACTTCTTCAATGACCCGTATTATCACATTTCTTATCTATTTCTTTTCCCCCCTCTTCTCTCGGGAGGCACACGGGTCCCTTAAGTTAGAAAATTAACTTATGCATCAAAATAAAAATGAAATGTGACAGTACCAGACCAGATGTTGGGCCTTGTTTATGTTGTTTTACTGATTTTCTTGAAGCTGCACACATTTTTCAGTTTGTAATCCCAATATAATCTTCATTTGCTCGCAGAAGTTTACTATGAAATTGTATTTTTAAATTTTTTTTCTTGTTCCCCGTGTCCTATAACATCTGTAACTGTTGATTTGGGAAGAAATATAAATTATTATGAGAGTCCAATCCCTCAAGTGGAGGACTTCAAATATCTCGGGGTCTTGTTCTCGAGTGAGGGGAGGACGGAGCGTGAGATTGACAGGTAGATCGGGAGTGGGAGGAGCTCGGAGTAGAGCCGCTGCTCCTCCACATCGAGAGGAGCCAGTTGAGGCTCGGGCATCTGTTCTGATGCCTCCTGGGGGTCTCCCTCAGGAGGTGTTCATGTCCCACCGGGAGGAGGCCCCGGGGAAGACCCAGGACACACTGGAGGGACGATGTCTCTGGTCTGGCCTGGGAAAACCTCGGGGTTCCACTGGAGGAGCTGGAGGAAGTGTCTGGGGTGAGGGAAGTCTGGGAGTCCCTGGTTAGACTGATGCCCCCGAGACCTGGCCCCGGATAAGCAGAAAGAAAATGGATGGATGAATTATTTTCTTACTTTCCATGAACATAATTTGTAAGCAGTGCAACACAAGAAACTTAGAAAACTACAGAATTAGTTCAAAAATCATTCAGAATCACTTTTAGGAAAGTCTTAACTGTGTGTTTAAGTGAAATTTGTCAGATAAAACACTGAAATAGTTGTGCGCTCACTTCTGCTCACCAGAGGAGACCGAGCGACGACATGTCCAGGTGATGAGGATTAAACATGCAGACAGATGAACTAACTTAGGTTCATAACAGGTACAATTCAGGAGGACTTTCCAGCTGATTTTCTTGTGAAAACTCCTGGAAATCAGCTGGAACGTCCCCCTGGCTGGAAAGCAGAGCCCCCATCCTTCCCAAATCAGAAAGACACATCACTTTACATCTTTAACTATGGATAAACCGGGAGTTTGTTCATGCTCAGGATGTTGTTCCAGGATTTCTCCAAACCCTGAAGTGTGCCTCATGTAGCAGACACAGACACATTTACTGTAGCACAGGATTATCAACCAAACACGTGACAGTTAAGAGCTTCTCAAAAGTGATTCTGAGTGATTTTTGTTGAAGTTTCTTGTGTTGTGCTGCTTACAAATTATGTTCATGGCAGGTAAGGAAATAATGTCTTTCTAAATCAACATTTACAGATGCTATAGGACAAAAAAGTGATTTAAAATAGGATTTCATAGTAAACTTCTGTGAGCAAATTAGGATTATATTGATATTATATAGTGAAAAAATGTGTGTTGCTTCAGGAAAATTGGTAAAATTACATAAACAAGGCCCCACATCTGATCTCGCTGCATCAACATTTCATTTTATTATGGTACAAAAGTTGATTTTCTGACTTATGACTTAAAGCTCACTGCTGTTTCTGACTGGACTGGTAATTTTGCAGATTAATATTGGTAAAACCTTTTTGTATTATTCAAACAGATTTAATGTTAAGTTTTAATTGTAGAGGTTCATTCTGAGATTTATTTATTTATTTATTTATAGTAACTGCAGTTTGTGGTTTTTGACAATATTGTAAATTTCGAACAGTTTTCTAACACGAAAATCAGCGGATTTGTTCTTTTTTAAGTCGTTTTAGATCAATATTGCGATTTTTAAAAGTCCAAATTATAACAGAACGATCCAAAAGTGTCACAGATTATAACCAATAAGTCTGATTTAATGTTGTTTCATTCTAATTCTTTACAACTCTGCTACGAATTGTTTACGAAATCAAACTTTCTTAACGCAAAAGTAAAGTTATTGCGATGTAAAAATCTACATAAAAACATAAA